TTAATATTATATAAATATATCATTAAATTTTTAAAATTTATTTATTAATAAAATTTTTTATTATTTAAAAAATAAAAATGTCCACAATAATATAATAGGCCTCTGTATATAGATATATATCCCAGGTTAATTTGCTTATAATCCAATAGAAAGAAATATAGTTACTCTTTTAAATAAAATTGCTGGAATTATATTATTATTTGATAAATATAATAGTCATCTTGATTCTTAAGAAAAGGTTAAAAATATTAAATTAAGTTTTTAAAACTTTTATTATATTAGAGAGAGACTGTACGAACTTTGATCCAAGGATCTGATTTTTGGAAAGCCTGTATTAATACATTATATTGATCAGTATAATGTATCATTTATGGAAATAGAATCTTCTATATCAAATAATAAGAAAAAAATATACTATAAAGGAAAAAAAAAAGTCGATGAAGAGGAAACAGATCACTTATTTATATTATGGTTATGAATAAAGAATCATTATCAATTTAGTCAATATTCTCTCAATATTTATAAGTTCAGTAATCTTTCTTGCTATTTATTCAAATATGTACTTGAGGTGGCAAATTTATTGACTATAAATAACAGTTATCTTCCTTCAGTGACAAAAGGCAGGAACAATTATTTTCTCAATTCAATATATTTACTAGAATATTTTTATTATATTAAAGTTTCAATATACAATGTTCATTGTTCTTCAATATTAGCCAAAATGTATTTAAGAAAATTTTTTGCACTCAATGCAATGAATATTTTTCCATTATTATTTTTATAATCAAATACAAAAAACTAAATTACTCAAATAAAAAAGGATACTAATCAGCTGATACATCAATTTTTGAAATTAATATTTCGAATTCTGCTATATTTAATAATTTTTTTACTTTTTCTTTATTTCAAAAGGTGGTTGAATATGGATTAATAATAGATATAAGATTTTTTCTGATTAATATATATGTTAATAGCGAATATATGATATATATTTTAAATTAGTTCTATTCAATTTATTTTAGTTAATACTTTCTCTATTAGTTTTGTGTAGTTTTTTAATACATATTTTTGTTATTTTCAATATTAATTGTTCATTTAAAATATGAATTATTGTACGAAGAAATGAAAATTGAACTATTAGTTAATAAAAAAAAAATATGCTTAATAATAAAAGCTTTTTAATAAAATAAATTATGATAATAAAATTTCACTTATATATCTTATTTTAATCAATATTTTCTTATACATTAGTTATTAGTTTCATATAATTTTTTAGAAATTCACTGTCATTTTAATAATGTATATTTTTATTGATTAATTATTTATTCAAATATGAATTATTGCATAAAGAAATAAAAAGGCAAGTTAAACACTTTTTTTTTTTTTAAAAGAATGAATTTAAATAATTAACAAATATATTTTTAAAAATCTACATGTTGAATTTAACCTTAACTTCAATAGACAGGAATTTAAAATTTTGATTATTATTTGAAAATAAATCATTAATAAAAGGTTTTTATCATTATGAAAAAAATATAAAATTTTTGATATAATAGATCGAAAAAATTTTTCAAACTCAGTAATAATTAAAAATTTGGACTTATGTAATTATGATATTATATGATTTTAATTTATTACATGTATATATATGTATATATGTATCCAATATATGTACATATATTTATATTAACCAAACAAATATCTTATATTTTATATATATGTATAATCTAATATTTGATTAAACCTCTCTATTTCCTAATAAATCAGGTAATAAAAGATATTTCCCTAATTATAATTTTATTAAATTACAGATATAATTAAAAATACTAAAAATTCAATTAAAATAGAACTAAAATTAATATAATACAAATTTGTATTTAATTTTTTTTTAAATATTCAAATATTATTTTTTTAATTTTTTTCCAATTATTATAATTAATTAACAAGTATTAATATAAATATTTGACAAGTATTAGCAAATTAAATAAAAATAAAATAATATTTTTATTATTCAATATATGTTAAATTGTTAATAAATATCAATATAACAAATGTTTTATATTTAAATGTTTGAATAATGGCAGCATGTCTAATAACACTATTTTGACTAATAAACAAAAATACATTATTAAATAAAGATTTACTTAACTTAACCAATCGCAACTTTTAATTACTTCTTAGTCTCATACAAAAAAAAATAAGAAAAAATTTTCAACTATATACTTAAAATCTTTTATAAAGCATGGAAGCAATGATCATAACAGCATCTATTTTATTATCATTTGACATAAAATAGACAAAAACCAAAGTATAATCAGCAATAGTCCAAGAAAAAATAAAATTAAAAACTTTATATTTATAAAATTTCTTGATACTTTACAAAATTCAAAAAATTACATTAACAAATAGATATTTATCTAGCAATAATTTTATTATTCTGAATAGGTATTAACCATTCAGCACTATTTTTATAAATCCATCTATTTAGTATAAATTTGTATAAATAGCTATATTGCAATAGGCTACAATTAATTTATATTCTTTTATAAAGATTGTTAATGTAATGGCAGTAAATTTATTGTTTAAACAAAGTCTTGTATTTAATGCCTGTTTGCAATAAATAAATAAATAAAAAAATAATAATATAATCATTAATTTTTATTAAAAATTTTATTAAATATAATTATTCTATAAACATAAATTCAAAATAATAACGTTGATAAATATTAATAACAAATAGAAATAATAGAAGTAATAATAATAATCTTCAATAATAAACAATACTTGTTATGATATATTACAAATTAAATTTATAATATATATACTGTATATTTGAATATTTTCGATAATAATAACATTATTGACTTTAACGTATTAAAAAATTATAGATTTAAATAATTATACAAATTTTCTTTATATACTTGATGAGAGAAATAATAAACTCCATTGAAAATGACACAAGTAAAAAAGAATTAACACGTTTAATTGTCATTGCATAAAAAAGTGTGTATTTGTTCTAAGAACAAACTTTTCGTGAACATAGTGCTTAATATGAAAACGCTATTGGCATTAAGAGAAACAGATGCTATTCAATGATATTTTTTTATGTTAGAAGAGAATTAAGCGAAAAAAAACTATACCAAAAGAAATGCAACTAGTGCTTCATCTACATCCTTCGTTGTCGCAAGCATCACCGCTTTTGGTATTATCGGATACGCCCATAACACGGGTTGAAATGTTAACTGCAGCTTGAGAAGAATCCTTTTTTCTATCACTATGTCCAAGATCCATATCTGGGGCTATTCTGTTTCTAATAAGTTGTTTCTTTGTGATCGTTATTGAAAGGGTTAGTAATTTGAAATAAAGAAATAAATAGATTTAACATTAATCATCTTTTAAAGCTTACTAATTCCTTTAATTCTGGAAATCTTCCTTCCTTCTTACGATCCCAGATAATTTCTAGGATATATAATAACATTATTATTAATTTTACATGATGATAAGATAAAAAGACGCAATTACTTACCTCCGTTAACTTGCACAATAAAGACTGCATTAGATCCAGGAATTAATGCTATTTCACCAATAATATTGCCAAATGTAATCAGTAATTCCTGTGCAGTCCATCCCGCACGAAGTACCCTAATATGACATGCCAGTTTCATAAATAAAAGAATATTTCAAATCCCATTCGAGATAGCTTACCATCTACATTGAACACAGTACTCGATTGAGATGCGAGGTAATCGAGGTTTGATGTTTTCTTGTTGATCAATAGCAATGCTAGTGTCTGTTGCGTTAGACATTTTTTTTAGGTTTGTCAAGAGTTTCAAATCATTTATAACACTAAAGAGATTATGTAATACAGATTCACGTAACACCGAAATATTAAAGAAAAATTATTTCTTTTTACGTTGATTACTTATTTGGATAAGTTCAATACTGATTTCCAAGGTTTTCTATTTAAACAAGTATACTACCCGCTTTATATTGCTATAAACTTACATCACCCTAGCTTATTTTTTATTTTCCTTACCAGAGAATTATAGTTACTATTTCATATTTTGTATCATCGAGTATTCTAAATTAATGTTGATAATTTTTGTTTATTTTTATTTAAATTATTATTTTATAATTATAATTTATTTATATAATAAATAATATAATAATAAAATAGTTTATTTGTTTAAAAATCAATTAATAAAAATTGAAATATTAAGTTTGTTTATTTATTACAAACTAATATTAAAATGTGAAACTTTTATTTAAACAAAAAGTATACCTTTATTATATTAAAATAAGTTAATACTAAATAGATAAACTCTTATTAATAATAATGAATCCAAATTAAGTTTTAATTTGGTGCTAACCATTTTTACATATTTTATAAATTTATCTTTAACTTTGTTTACTTTATCAATATATACTTTTAAATTAAATATTATTATTATTTTTTTTTTCTTGTTTTAATTATTTGAATGTTGACTTTGAAGATATTTAGTTTTTTTGAAAATTCTTATATAAAATTTTTCAGTTTGAAATCCAGCTCATATTCTATTAATAGTATTGGCTTATATGGTTATAATTTTGTATTTAGATCTTTTTGATATCTTTTTTATTTTTAGGTTTAGATCTAAGACTTGATCAATTCTTACTATAATATTATATTTGTATTTTTATATTAGCTTTTTAAAATTCTTTTGAAAATTTAAAAGAATTTTATAAAATAGCTGTTATATTTTAAATTGAATAATTTGTTTTATATTTATTAAATTTTGGGTTTTATAGTTAGGATCTTTAATATTAGTTTAATTATAAAATTTAACTTTTCATTTTTTTCTCTAAAGAAATTTTTTTATTTAATATAATATTTATTATAAATTAAAAATTATTTAAATATAATTTATTAAAACTTAATAATATAAGTTTTATATAAATATACAATTATATATTTTTTAATATAATAAGTTAAGAAATAAATATATATTATATTGATAAGTTTGAGATAAATTAGAAAAAATATTAATAAGCAAATATTTTATTAAATATAGAATTTCAAAAAGTATCAAACTGGTATTGAAATAGTATTGAAATAGTATTAATAATATAATAAATTTAATATATGGATTATGACATACTTATATAAATTTATAGTAAATTTAAATATTGAACTGATATCAAATAAGTTTCAAAGTAATATCATTAAAAGCTATAATCAATATGAAATAATTAATAAAAATTTTTTTATTAAGTTAAATAATAAAAAAATAAAATTAATTATTTTTTTTATTTATCTAAAACCTATACAATTTAAAAATATATAAAGTTATATATAATAATATTTTTTTTTAAAGAGATAAAATAACTATTATATTTTTTAAATTTATTATAATTTTAACTTAACAATAAGATTATAATTTTACTAAAATAATATATGTTTTTTTTGTTAAAAATATTTAATGCAAGACTTAAAAAAGGATTTTATCTGTATTTTTAACTAAAGCTTTTAATAATATTATTTCAAAATTATTTTGATAATAATCTGATATCATTTTTATACTATTTTCATATTATTTCATTTTTTTTTTTTTTTTAAGTAGGTAAACATCATTTTTTTATTTATTTCATACGTATCATGGTATACATTTAGAAAAGAAACAACATCTCTTAGATGCAAATGCATACAGTAAGTTGAATACTAGCTTGCCTACTCTACGATGTTTAACTAGCATAGAAAAGAAATTTTAAACTATACTAATTGCTAAACAAAGGGAGTAGCGGCTAT